TCCATTCAAGAGTCCACCCATGCAGAGACAATGATCTGGTTTGTATCCAAGTTATTAAAAATGTGTCTTTTTTGTTCTATTAGTTAAGCTGCTTGACAATGTTAAGCAGGAGAATGACAGAAGAACAAACTTCTTGTTTCCAGAGATGTATAAATACACATAAAAAAAAGAAGTACAAATTCTGTGTCTAATTTGAAGTTTCCTTAAAAATGCCCCAAACTAATCACTGTGGTTCGTGCCCAAAATAGTGATTAAGTGCTGGATTTCAATGCACAGTATAAAGGCTTACTGACTGGAACAAATGTCTTCAGGCAAGGGAAAACTCAGAAGGAAAGTAATGGAGATACTTTGTGCTGTGAACCATAACATACCAGGTCACTGAAATTCATGATATTATGAAACTGTTGTATAACAGCAGTGCCAACAGGGCTGGTACAATTTTTTTTTTACTTTAAAAATTCCATACAAAAGCAGATGAAGATGGAGTAGAAAAAACACTGTTTATAAATAAAACATTTTATAAGTTAAACAAAAACAAAAAAAGTACAGAACATTCTTTCCATCCTATCACACTTTCACATTTCCATTCAAACAGCTGAAATTCATTTTTTTTCTGTTTGTGTTTAGTACCACAACAAAAACGTTGGATGAAATCCTGTTGTGTATCCTGTAACTCAATGGATAAAACATCAGGAATATGTTACAGAAATGGCAATGTAATCCTTTCTTTTAAAAACTTACTTTTGAAAACTTAATTAGAAGTAAGACCTTTCCAGGCTGAACATTCACTGACAAGTGTGGAAAGATAGTCCAAAATGATTTTTCCCAGGAACAGAGATCTACTTTTTAAAACATCTAACCTGTTGATTACTCCCTTGAGAAGTCCAGTTCCACCACCATCCCACCTCCCAAGCTCCTCCCTCCTCACAAGTGCATTTTTCTGGAATTACGAGGCATCAAATCGCTTTCTCCTCCCCTGTTGTCCTCACAGAGACACTTGAGGAAACAGTTTCAAGTGAGAAAATAAAGTTCATAGCAATGCACTTTGCACATTCATTTGTAAATCGCTTTAATCCTGGCAAGATATGACCAAGCAGAGATAAATTTGAATGTTCTAACTGGCCAGTTTTTCTGACCAGAAAAAAACAGGATGAGAAGATTTCCTGTGTGTTTTAATAACTCAAGTTAGACCTTTCAAGTCACCTCAAGACCCATCAGTGAGCCATGGCAGAAATCAACCATGAATTGAGGGATTGCCACTGCCGCTGAATAACTTACTGATTACATTAGACAGCATCTGACAAAGCAGGCTGCTCCCTGGAAAAGTTTGTGCCTTTCTGAAGCAGCTAGTCTCTCAGGTGTCACCCTGCCCTGACTTCTGCCTAATTATCTTAGGTTTCTTTAACACCGTGTAAATGCCCCAAACCAGTTTTAAAACCAACCAACCATTATTTGAAAGAACTTACTCGTTCCATGACATTTTATATTCCTTACAGTTTACATCCTTAACACTGCCATCATAAAGTTCAAATGGAGTCAGAAGAAATTAAGTTGTTCAAGAATGTATATTAAAAGACAATGTGTTGGTGCAAATACCAAGGAATTTACAGACAAAGTTCTTTGGGTAGATGTGATAACTTGTATTAGACCAACTGAGTAGCTGGAAAAAAGTTCTTGGCAAGCTTTCAGGCGCAGTCACCCATCAAAACCATATAGCAATTACAAGATTGAAATGTATAGTTAAAAAATACAAAAATCAAATATGCATAGTTTGGTGTCTCCTAGATGTACTTTTAAACTTACCTTCACAAACCAATTCCTACTCCCCTCGATCCCCCAATTTTTGAATACCAGAAACCATCTTAAGCACACCGACAACACCAAAATACATACTCTTAAACTGCTACTCATCCAAAGCACATAACCGCCACCTACAACCCAACATCTTTTCTCCCTATAAGGAACAGAAAATCCGCACAAAACTGCACAGATGTGAACAGAACAGAACTCCTTTCCCCAAACACCAACTCAAAGTCAAAAAGCATTTTACCCTCCTTGACCTTCCCATTTATCCTCCATGTCCAAGACGTCACATTCCAAAAGCATGCCCCATATACCTGTATTCAATTCACTATACACATAGCTGTTCACTGCACAGGAGTGACAGTTTACAGACTGTACATCTACAGAATGCCTTACCAGTTACAGTGATTATAAGCAGAATCCTGTTAAAGGGAAGATAGACAGCTTTAGAGGTAGAATCACCCACATATTTATTTGCACACAAGTGTTTGCTCCAAATTGTCTGGTTTCCATACCTTAGTTTAAATGTTGCAGCTCAGGCCAGGGAGCTGTTTTGCAAGTTTTGGGGGGTTTTTAATTTTATAATGGCAAAATGTCTCTGTCCAAATAAACAGTAGGAGCTTTACTTTCAGTGAATGAAACTTGCCTGGTACTCTACTTACCTAAAGAGTGCAGAGTAAGTGCATACACAAGGAAAGAGAACAGGAACCATAGCTTCTCTTCCCAACCTGAAGGCATAGCTCGGAAGTTCCATAGGATCTCAAGCTTCCAAACAGCCTACAGAGAGAGCTCAAACTCTACGTGACCTCTACTTACCCAGTAAAATATTACAGAGAGCTTATGAGCTCCATGTAAAAGCACCATTATTCCAGAATCCACAGAGGTTTGAACCTTAATGAATTCCCTACTTTCAATACCTTCGCCTGGCAGAGTTTTTCCTTCAGCTTCTTCTTGCCCTGTGTTAGCTTTATAAATTGTACTTTGGGCTGCACAGGCTCTACAGCTACTGCAAACGGGCAAATTTTACCAATCAATTACAGCATTAGTATCTTATGCTTGACATTTTTTAAACAACAAAAAAAGGTTCAAAACCTTGAGCTACATTTCTTAAAAATGTGAAGGTGTTTCAGAAAGTAATGGCAATTCCTCAGTAAAAACACTGTGTGTACAATGCATGGGAACTAAGTAGCAGCAGAGGGAACACTGATGGCAGCACTGTTGAACACACCTACCACTTACAACTATATAGAGAAGTGATACGTCTCAGTAAGTGATCACTGCACACAAAATAGCCATTGCTTTCTAAAACACCCCCATATATTTGTCTCCTAGCTGTAGATGCCAAAGGAGTTCTAAGGTGTTCTGAAACCATGGTACTTCATTTAAGTACGCATAGCCTCAGGACTGCGTGCACTTAATCACATCTTCATATTTAATCTGAGCATATATGATTTCCCCAACTTAACATAAACAATGCTCATTAAGCAGTGGTTAACCCAACCATGCCCAGTGCTGGGGTACCAGCAGTCGTGAAAGTGATTAACTCTCATTATTTTGAAGGCATCTAAAAGCTGCCATCCCTTAACCAGGTACAGCAACTATGACACAAATAAAGAGTTCAATTACGTTACAAAATAGACAACAGAACCAAAAGATTCCATGCATTTAGGTGGTTTATGCAGTTATAACCAATGTGCAACTAACTAATATCTGTTATAACATAAGCAATAGGGAAACAATTTAGACTCGTATTGTGTTGCACTGCAGCAAATGATACATCTTATCAAATATATGTAAAAGTAGAGCTGACTCCAAAAAACAGTAACGATGGGGAGTAAAGTTAATGCTTACCAATACACAAACTAATAAAAATAAAGTTACTTAATGAGTCCATAATTAAGATCATTCCCAATCACACACAACTCAAGAGCAGTCTGAAGTGAAAAGCACCCAGATGTCATTCAGCACAACATTTAATTGGCATAAACAATGAGCCAACAAAATTACTATATAAACTGTACAGATCTGGGATTAGAAATCTTATGCTTTTATGTCTAACACCACAGTGTAATACCAACTAACTTAAAAGAAGACAATTGGTACAGTATAAGACACAAACTTGTTCTAAAATTTAACTAGCTATTATGGGAGGAAACTGGTCACAAAGCATAACCATTACAATTATACACAAGTGTTTGATTTCTGATTGTGTAAAAACTACCAAATTTACTATATACCTTGCTTTAATGAGACTCCATTTTATTCAATAACTAGGTACACTTTTTACATTGGAGAAAGCTTTTTTTAAACTAAAAGGTAGACAGCAAGACAGGTAAAAGCCAGATTTCTCAAGTTTTATAACCTGCAATTCCAAAAGCAGTTCAACTAATTCTTGAAAAATTTTACAGGAAAAGCATTATCTTTAGCTTTCAGTCTAAACGTGGCAATTTTCGAAGCAAACAAGGGTTGTTGTTTTTTTAGCAAAGTGAACTGGGGATTAAAAATGGGGCTCCATAATGGATCCTGACTGTAGCCTTAAAGATAACCTACAAGCAGCATAAACATGTGTGTGTGTTCTGAATATAGAAACCTTAAAAGCTCTTTTTTTTTTTTAAACCTGAGAAATATCAAAAAAGTCAAGTTCCATCTTTCCTAATTTGCTGGAAGATCTATGGAATTCTCAGAGGTACTTATTAGGCTGTAACACCAAAGCGTAATTCAAGGACAAAGAAATGAGAATTTGTAAACCACAGGTGCAATTCTTCATCAGAGTGCTTAACTAGCCACTGAGGTTAACTGTTCATAACAAGAAACCCGTCAAATAGCATGCTCACCTTCATTTTCAGCTGTTTATTTTGAATTTCCTTTGATCTAGATTTTCATAATTTCTCTAGCTTTCCAGTCAGAACGCAGTCTTTTAACGTTGAAAAAAACTGAATACCAATTGAAGGAAGGCAGGAAGGCCTTATACCACAGGAAAAAAGGGCACAAAACCACTTTTCCCCTTTAATTTTGAAGGGGGAATTGTAATCTCTCCACAATGAAACCTGACTACAAGAGTTACCATGAACAAAACCCTGTCTCCACTAAATCACACTAAAGAAACAAAGTTTAAACTGTTAAATGTAAAGAATATTGTATATCCTGAATTGATCTGCTCGTGGCTTCAGCGAAAACTCCATACATGTTACACATACCTTCTTGCTCTTCTTCACTAGATGAAGCCAAATAAGCTTGAAAATCCATGTCAAGAAGTTCATCCTTTTTAAATGTTCTACTTAGTGAAGTTACTCTTTCGTGATCTGTTTCATCCCATGTGACATCTACCTTTAAAAAAAAAAAAAAAAAAAAAAGATAACATGACACAAAAAGTTAAGCCTCAACTATGGTCAACATAGAATTTCAAACTTCCTATTACAAGTTTATCAAGAGAAGTGAAACACAACCTTGATGTGTTATGCTAAATTTTCACAATAGACGGCTACTTTTAGAGAGTAGAACCAAAGGCCTCATTTTAAATTGATTTGAAAAGCAACCTTAAGGAACTGCTATGGAGTATCCTCATCATATTAAGTAGATCAGATCATCGATACCTTAACTTCAGATTTTTTAAATGTACCCTACATAGATTTCAATGTATTTTAAGTACACAGAAAGACCGAGGAGTCCACTACTGGATAAATAAAATAATTTGTAATGAAATCATGACTGAAAGCACTTAATTTTTTTAATGCCTATATGTAGATCCAATTAAAAGATGTATTAGTAAATATTCAAAATTGATCCTTTTTGCAAATAAGGTATACTTTAGACTGATAGACAATGCATTATTTATAACAGGTTGAACCTCTGTTTAGAGTGATAAACTTAGCCTTACTCACAAAGTCTACTTGTAACTCATAAAGAAAGCACTTGCACAACATAGGATTTCAGCATGTTTTCACCACATAAAAAAAAAAGAAATCAAACCTTTCTCCACTATCTCCAATGCCACAAATTCTTTATTTATGTATTTTATAAACCAAGCCAAACAGAACTAAACAAATTACAAAAGAATTAGAAAAAAAAGAAATATTGTTAAGGTACCTTTGATGTTCCCATAGCAGCAGATGTGAAGTACTTTGGTTTATATGCAGCTCCATCCACTTCTAAGGCTACATCCCTTGGCTCATCATCAAATGTAACATTATCTGGAATAAATCTTAAAAGCAAAGATGTCTTGTTATTGAAACATGCTGCAGTGCTTCAAAGGAGTAAATGGCACTGAGGTTCAGCTTCTTTCTAATTAAAGCCTTACAAATTAGTACAGAAAAATTTACTAGGATAAAGAGTGGATAAGACTGTTAAGAGAGGAACATATACAACTCAGTTCTTAAATATTTCCTATATGTTAAGACACAAAATTGAGCTCTCAGTTTTGTATCTGTAAGAACTGAGCTTCATATCAACTGTTCGTACTGTACTTCCACATCCTTCCCATTGTTACCATAACCTTATGAAAACCAAAAATCAATCAATCAAAGAAAATGATTTTTTTTAAATGTAAACTACTTATTCTGAAATGTTATTAAGGACCTTACACATAACCAAGATGGGCAGAGCTTCTTTCCAAGCATCATAACTAGAATTTTGTAACTATACAATAAATCATAAAAATTACAGAGAATGCTTTCCTTTTTCTGGCCAGGAGACTGTCATATGTGTATAGAACACTGATAAACAAACTGAAGCAAACAGCTCTAAAATATCAAGCAACAGAGGGATTAAATAACCAATACTATTGGACACACTTGTATCTTTCCTAGCATGTCAAGATTACAGCACAGAATACAAAACCTAATAAAATAAAGGCAGAATCTCTTAACTTTGCTGCCTGATGCTCAAATGATTATTACAGAATTTGAGAGATGAATAGAAAACCCCTGTATGTCAACTAGCTTTGATTCTGTAAGCACTACTTGCTTTTTTAGGATAGATTTATTGGAAGAGTTCTGATTTTTTACAGCAACAGGATAGAAAAATATTTAAAGACCACTAAAAATTAAGAGAAAAGCTACATAAAGCTGTGAAATACTAAGGGAGCATTAGCTTAAAACAATTTCTGGGGACACTTCCAATTTTCTATGATTTCACAAAAGTCTTAAATAAACGTGACTAGAGAAAATGCAGTATCTTGACTTTGTGCACTGACAAATACTTTGTATGCAGGCAGTTTTGCTACACCTCACATTGCACAGGTCTTCCCTGTTACAACAGCAAGAATAAATATTTCATAAAACAAATTAATTGTGAGAAACTAAGAGATTTGAACTGTTTGAAACTTCCTTAACTTTTTTCTAACTAGATTTTACTTTATTGATATTCCTTGCAATGAAATCTGTACATACCTGTACATTTTTCCAAAACATCCCCAAAAAAACCCTCCCTCCCTAACATAACACATTGAATGAAAAATCAAGGATATGCTTTGTGAAACTTCAAACATTATAGGGTATGTTTAGAGCAAATACGAAGTTTTAATTAATAAGGACCAAAAGTTAGATATCTGTTATGTCTTCTAAAATTCAATACTCAGTATCTATGAAATAATACACCTTTTTTTTTTCCATAGCATTCAATCTACCAAAACTGGGATCAAAGAGCTGATTTCTATTGACAATCGAAGGAGAGGGGGTTTTTTTGTGCAAAGGATTTGGAACGAAGATAAAGCAGTACACTATTTTAACTTTCTGACTTCTTAAAGCTGGAGCTGAGAATGATCAAACTTTCCAATTTCAGCCTCAGCACAATGCTGCCTTATATCCGAAAAACAATACAGCAGATGTCAGTGTCCTACTAAGTTTACCTGACTGCAAAAAAAAGGGAAGATTTGCACCTGAAGCCCTCTTTAAAATACTTTCTTTAAGGTGGGTACCTTGCAAGTTTTCCATCTAACCATAAAAATTCTTTTTGCTTCTCTTGAGAAAAGCTCAGTGTATTCATGTCTTAGTTCATTACTGTTACCATATTTCACAGTGTATGTCAGGTTCTGAAGCTCAATTGTTGCGTCTTAAAAATCAAACTTGACTTATACACTGTGCCACATCAAAAAACCGGGCACAGGGCTGGGCTCGATGCTTGGCTGTTGCTGCCCCATCCCCTGCAAGCGGCACTGCCTGGGCTGTACCAGTGCCGCTTGCAGGGGACAGGGCTGCACCAGTCGATCACCAAGCCGAGCCCTGTCCCCATCCCCTATGAGCAATGCTGGGCACACGGGGGATGGGGCCACGCCAGCCAAGCCCGGCCCCAACATGTACACCATGCTTATGAAAATCCTTACCTTTCAAATCGGAAAACCGGGGGTTGATCTATACACCGTGTCAACCTAATCACTGTGAAATATGGTATACATCTTTGTCACTATTTTTTGATAATGAGGACAACAGAGTACACTCCCAATACTGTTAAACCTGCTTTAATTTTTCCCTGAAAGACATCATTTGCTTTACCTCAGATCTACGAAAGAACAGCTACTCTCAAATTCCAGTCCATCACAATCCTCATATATTTTATTAGCGGTCTCAGGAGAATCACATTCTACTACTGCATAGAAGTATTTCAGCCGTTTGAACTGATATTCTCTTAATTTTTCCGTGTGAATCCTGTGAAAGTAAAGACAACACATACTCAAAACAACTTGGTTAACACAATAAAACAAAGTTATAGCTTTAAAAATACATTACATATTTAAAAAAAAAAGGTAAGAAGAAAAGTTTTCCATACACAGACTAAATCTTACAAAAAGATCAGATCTTTTGCTGGGCAGAGTCCTACCCACATGTATAGTACTATGTTTGGGCATAAAGGTTTAACTTGCATTATTCTCTTTTCAGGACTGAGGCCTTAAATCAGGACACCTCCTTCAGACTGTATTTCCCTTAAGATGGATTAGTTATTATATACAAATACTAAGCCTTTCTTTTTGTAACTTTGATGCACATTTTGACAGTACACAGCACAGAGCCTTTGTTTTTGTTTTCTTAAGAAACACACTTTAGAAAAGAATGTTGTGTACTGACTCCCACCAACGTTTTGTTCAGCTTACCTATTTTGACAACAAGCATCAGGGTTAAATGCAAGTCCCATATTCCAAAAGTGGAATATTTCTGTAAGTTAGTCAATTATGATTTTACTGAATGGTACCAATATCTCCATCTAGTGGTGAAAAATAACTGACAGGATTTCTATATTTTGTGATGATCTTTCAATCAGAATTTGAGATTTACATATGTGATTGCTTACCTATCAATACAGACACATACTCTTCCAAATATGCACAACCATTTCATTTCTTTAGTACTACTGTTTTTAAAATATATTACAAAACCTATTTTCACTACACAAACTTTTCAGCTGCTTGCTAAGTAGCTGGGAAACAGGATAGAGCTGATGATGTGAGTTGTAGAGCATATTCTGTTTGAGGCTAAATTGTCTAGACAGAGATACCAACAGAACAGTTTATTTGGTTCTTATCTTGCTATACACCTTAAAAATACATTACATATAGTATACTATACCATGCAGTTGCAAAATAATGATTTAACATTCAGCAAACTAGGCTCACAAGCTAACACATGCCGGTGAAGCACTGAGCCCAAATGGAGCCCCACTACCTGAATGGATGGAACGCTTCATCAAATTAGGGCCTTAAATGCTATACTGCAAAAAAATTATCCACACATGTGATGCGACAACGAGCCAAGATCACTTGAAAACCACCCTTCAATAAACTAGAGAACAGGTGCAGCAATATGGAAACTTAAACTAGGGATGCACTGATACAGATTTTGGGGCTGATACCGATAGCCGATTTTAAGGAGGCATATCAGCCGATACCAATCTGATTTCTGATACCAGCTGCACGCAGATGTAAGTCTGTTGTGGTGGACAGGGAAGAGGGAGGGAAGGGGTGCGGTAGGGCAGGTCACCACGTGAGGGAGGGAGTAGAACAAAGACTGGGGCAGACACTGTCCAGCCAGGGCGGGGCAGGGTAGGGCAGGGCAGAGGACGCTGTCCACCCGTGGCAGGACAAGGGGGGCGGCTCTGGCGCGCACCCTGTGAGGGCATGTGCTCTGGATCGGCACGTGGGGAGGAGGTGGGGGGGCTGCAGCTGTAGGCTGGGGCCACAGCAAAATTTGGGGTGGCTGCAGCCCCCCTCCATAACCTCTCTTACAGCACCACCACTGCCTGCCCTGAGCACAGCCCCCACACGCCAGGAAGAGCCCAGTGCAGCCCCAGCCCCAACCTTCAAGTGCAGCCCACCGTGCACCCACCCCGCGCAGATACGGGACACATGCCCCCCAGCCCACATACCCTCCTGGGCTGTGCGCAGTGGTGGGGCCTACCCTCCCCGTCCCATCTACTGAGCTCAGTCTCATGCCCCACCCTGACCCAGCTGGGCAGCACCTGACCCAGCCCCTGCCCCACTCCCTCCCTCACCATGGGGGCCTTGATCTGCTCCTGCATGCCTGTTCCCTCTGCCCTCCCCATTCACCACAACAGACTTACCAGCTGCACACAGCTCTCCAAGCTGCCAGGCTGTGCTCCTCCCTGCCTATGTGCTGTGCTGTGGCTGCGTGCATGCACAGGCATTTATTGGCCAAATTATCGGTCACATCAGGCCGATTTCCAATGCAATCAATTTTCTTTATATCAATGCTGATCCAATATTGGACTGATGTATCAGTGCGCCTCTATTTTAAACACACTTAGTCTGGTATTTTCACCCAAATGACACCCACTATTTTCTACCATTTGAAAATTGCATTAATACCCGTCTGTCTCTGTGGCATTTTCTGGAAGACTTAATAGTTCTACAGGTCCTTGTAATTCTTCCTTTTTCAACCTCTCCTTTCCAAACTCTGAAGGATAAATCTATAAATTCAGCAAAAGAAAGAATTATGAATCAATTGCAAAATTCAATATCCACCAAAAAAAACCCATCTCATCAAGCAGGCACTCTAATATCTTTTTTTTTTTTAATTTACAGAAACTTATACTTTAAAGGCTCTAATCCTACAAACACCAGTGCACTTAATATTAAGCATAATACCAGTAGTCCCTATTGACTTCAGTACAGGTAGTGATGTGAATAGAAGCAAACACAAGCATAAGTGTACTTAGGATTGAAATAATTGATACTAATTTGTTATAACAGGTTTTATATTCAGCATACAAATAAAACACTCAGTTTGAAATCTAATCAACTGCAAAAAACCAAATAAGACAGTTTTCAGTTAGTCTATTTATCTGAATCCAAGATGATGTTTTCCTCATTCAATACTGGGGATAAATGCCTCATCTTGGATTTGAGGACAAGGGGCAGGCAGTGGTTGTGAGACTGACTCCAGCCCTGACCTAGTAAGTGGGAAAGCCACCACTGCTGCTGCTACCTAGCCACAGCCAGAGCCACTGTGTGATCTGTTCATGAGTAGGAGCCAGAGATGGGTCAGGAAGTATGGGAAAAAGTGACAGGGCAAGAGGGTGGCAAGAGGGATGGATGGCAGTGAGAACAGCTCCAGGAGGGGCAAGAGATGGGGGCTGGACCACTTGCTTCTGTTATTTGCTGCCCCCCATCCCTGCTCCTTGCTTTCCCAACCACAGCAGTTTTAAAATGAATTTAAGAATTTAAGGGAATTTCAAATGACCCTCCTATAGTTAAATTAATAATTAGAACAAATTTATAATTTTTCATGTATAGAATCTAATTATTTAGGAGGGGTCATCTGAAATTTAATGTCATCTTAGATTCAGGAAAATACAGTATTAGACTAGACCACACTTCCTTAGCTAGTCTGAGTGGTTTCATATGATTAGGATTTCATTCTGTGATCTGACCAAACTGGCTATAATCTTATACTCCCAGTGAACACTACCCAGTTGATGGATATCATAAATATAGATCTAACCACACAGCTCAGCTTATAGGACTGGAGGGTTTTGTCTGTTTGTTTTATTTTGTTTACATTTATTTTTTTCATCCTTCTTCCTCTTTGCATACAATAGAGGAAGCCAGCTATGCTATGAAACGAAGTAGTCAAATTCACAATAAAAAATTAAAAGACATAAAATTACATTTTCTTTGTAACCTCTTATTCAAGTCAAATATAACCATGATAAAATTCTTTTTAATCTTTCAATAAATAGTAATTTAAAATTATTATTGAGATAATGCTGAAATGAATACCCAATTATTTTTTACGTAGTATATACAATTAAACTAGATAGAATTGTTTCCCACCAAAAATTATTTGGGAGGGAAAGACTAAAACTCCAAGCAAAGATCGCAAGCATTCAACTCTTCCATCATGCACTGTCCCCAAAACCATGCAAAAATGAAAAACAAGAGATACTCAGACTACTTCATCCTCCATGCTCTAACCAAATATCCATCATATATACTGCTACTCGCATGTCCAAGAAAATACTTCCCCTGAGGAACCAATTTTCTCCAGGCACTCATTGATTTAATGTTGAAAACACTCAGAGATGCTAATGTTCTCAGTCATTTCCAAGTTACACTCCTAAAACACTGTAGCTACCTTGCTGATATATTTTTATTCATCTGTTTTTAGGCATGAGGTAAAAGATGTCATTATTTTGAAAAAAAAGTCTTTTTTGGGGCAGACTAGTCATATACATAAATGTGTATGATAAAAATGGAATACATTTTACCCTAACTGAAAGCTAGGAACACAGAATATCGCAATCTTGAACTGGTGATTATCAGAACAGAGTTACTGGACTGGTTATATTTTATTTCATTTACAAGAAGTCTTTAAAACGGAACTAGAAATTGCATGTTCAATAGTGGATGAATATTTTCTGATAAACAATATTCCTTATTTATGTATAATATGAATTTATGAGATGCTGCAAGTTTTTATAAAAGTATTAATCTAGTGAATATATTGTTTCCATCTAATACCTAAAACATTTCTTAAAAAGAACATTAAGGCTGTGTCTACACAAGCGGGGAATCCACTTGCAGCAGCACAAATTGCCTCAGTGCATGCCCCTGCACATGCAGCTGACTGCAGTACAAATTGTCCCACAATGGGCAAACTGCCATTGCCCAGCTCATCCCGGCTCTCCAGGTAGG